CTAATGGTTTCTGAACATGAAAAGCAAAAGAAACACTTAAGAATGTGAGATTTTCCTAGACAAGTAACTTCTGCTATATAAAACACTTTACGCACAGCAACACATTATTTTCCCAGTTGTTTTAAAAAATAAATTAAAGCTTGAGAGTGTAAAGCAGAAAACTGTTGAATCACTAAAGACAAGATAAACATCTTTAGTGACAAGGATATAAAGCTACTAAACTCAGAAATTTAGCATTTTCATTATTTGTGTAGAGAATTCTTTATCAAAACACTGCTTTATACCTATTGCCTAAAAATATCAGATTAAAACACAATCATAACATTTCAGGATTCCTAATGACTATTTTCACATTATCCAAGTCCATGCAATTGCATAAATAACAAGACAAAGACAGTAGATCTAAGTCTATATGTCACATTTAATAATAAATTCTATGAACTCTATAAACCTCAGTAGTAAAAGTTTCTTTCAAAAGACTCATGATACAGTGATCTTTAATCAGAAACTACCATTTTGTTTTACCTCCTAGGGTCTGGATTCAGTCTGGCTGATGAGAGGAAAAAAATCATAAAAATGACTTCAAGTGTAAAAGTCAATTGGAAAACTGTAATCCTGGCTGAAAGCATTCAGGATCTTTCCTGTGCTGGGGCAGGGCTTGTGGTTATGCTACATATACTGAATGTTAAAAAACAAATTAGGGACATAAACTATATTTGAATGTGTTTGGTTTTATACATGCACAATTTACATAGCAAATTGCTTGGGATACAAGTAATTCCCTGATGTGTTTTATAGGGTGAGGGCATTTCTGGCTCCCACTACAGAGTCCAAAACAAAGGTTTATCACTCTTTATGTTTTATGGTGCTGATGATATGGACTAGTGAGGAATAACCCCTTTCCACAAAGTACAAAAATGCCTATTTCTGAGATTTCAGTGACTTATTAAATCTCCTTTTTGTTTGAATCTTTTATATGCATAAGTGATGCAAAAACAGCCACACTTTTGTCATGTTCTTCCTTTCCATCCTTATGTATCAAAGTGAATTGTGAGAGAGAACTCTTAACTGGAAGAATCAATGCAGCAATAACTGAGGAACAGATGAAAAGCCATATTCTCTTTCCTTGCCATTCACCTGACATCAGTAAAATTGTTCTATTGACAAAACTGTGCTTTAAGAAGTAAAAGTCCTTAATATTTGCTCCATTATCCAGTTCTGTAGTAATGTAGATGGGCAATAATTGCACCACTACCAGGAAACTGTACCTATTTGGACAGAAAGCTCGTACAGTGTAGACTATTGATATGGAGTACTGTGTTATGACTATTGCAAATATTACCCACCTTAATGAATTAATTTTACAGCTAAGCACTCTCAGACTATTGTATAAATTTACTTTTTTTTTTGCTTTTGAATAATTTCCTTATGTCATTAAAATTATTTATTTTTAATGAGAAGTTTTATATAAGAAAATCCATAACATAGTATCTGACTTTGTAAACTGTAGAACAGTTCATAAACATGGATGTGGCTTTTTGCTTATAGCTTGCCCCAGTGCCAGAGGAGGATCAAGGGCATATTTAACTTTCTAGTGTACCTGTAGCCACAGCCTCCACTAATTTATTCCTGTACTTTGTTTGCAATTGACTTTTACTGTCATTTTCCATTCACTTCATATGAAACTCTCATATAGTGGAGAAACAGAAGTTTATGTAAGTTTGTGTTTTTGTCTGCACATACATCCCTCCAGTAATGGTGAATTGCTACAAAAGCACCATCTATCATTTGGGAATAAAGCAAAGTCTCCAGAAAAAAACTGCAGTCACTACAACAGCTTCACACACGTTAACACATTGTATTGCTGAGTAAACAAATGCACTGCTTGGTTCAAATAATTCATAGTTAACTTTCCTGAACCTAAAACATTTGCTGTTACTGAAATCCTGATTCTAATAAGAGAATTGACTAAAAATTATGCTCTAATTACTACAAACGTACTCTAGTAAAAAGATATATTCTTTTAAATGAATTATAGTTGATGACTGTGTCTCAAATCCATTATAATTTAGTGAAACAGAAGATGCAAATCTTGAACAGCCACTTCACTGTGATTCGTAAGAAATTCCAGAAAAAAAAAAAAAAAAAGGTGTTTCACATTTAAAATTTCTTTTCAAAGCCTCATTCTGTTTACTTAAAGAGAACTTTCCTTATTCCAGTAGAAACATGAAACTTTTATTCTACTTGAGGAAGAAAAAAAAAGGAAAAATAAAAAAGATATATTTCTACCAGATTTTGGAAAGAAAGCCATCAGACACCCCTCAGGAGAAGGGCATTTGAAAATCTCCTTGTCCTTGTTATATTATAATATTTCTTTTGGAGGCTTAAAAATGATATAATGATGCTGACTCCAACAGTGACAGGCACAGGAAGAAAACCACGTCAATCTACATAGAGACAGATCAGTATGTAGATGCAAATGAAAAAAGCCCACAACAAACCACATTATCAAAATATTTCCTCCTGCAATCATCTACTCTAACTAAAGCCTAAAGTTATTGTGCTGTTGGTGGACAGGTATGTGAATCTATTGGGAGTAAAAGACAATATAACAAACACTTCTTTGCCTCTGCATACTAATGTTTCATCCTAAAATGTAAGAATTTCTTTTGTACAGTCAAGATCAGTGAACAGAACAACGTTTGTTTTCTGCAAGTGAAAGAGAGACTCAACAGTTTTTACCCTTCCTGCTTTAAAAGATTTGGTATTTAAATACCAAAAACCTGGAAAGAAGAGCTGAAAATTTAATCTTACATCTCAATTGAAATTCAGAAAAATCTTTAAAAGAAACTTACAGTTCAAAGCAATTGTTCACATGATGGATATTTTTATATACTTAATTAATTACTTACAGAGGAAAGGACTTGTATGTATTTATTTTTCTTTTCATCTATAGCTCTCTATAGTTCTTATGTAGAAACTAAAAAAACCTAAGATACTAGTTGAAAAGATAACTAGATCTACAAAGTGCCATTATAGTTAAAAATTAAGCATTTGACCCATATTTTTATGTATCTCTATTTTGCCAAATAATCAATTTTTCAATGATCACATGAAAAATAACTTCTGCAAATACTTAATAATTCAGTTGTTTTGGCACCATTACAACCAAAACCCAAATTGGAGAATATAAAAAGATATCCTATATTGAATATTAACCACTCAGTCTAAAACTATCTTCCATTCACATCTGCTCTCCAGGATCATGCAACTGAATTCAGAAACACATGATGACTTAAGGTATATTACTATAAAATCAAATTAGACTAAAGATGGATCACTATTAAATATGTAGTGCAGACTTTGCAACAAACATAGATTTCAGAGTATAATATAATGGAATTTAGCAGCAGTTCAGTCAAATAGTTAAAATCATGTATTAATACAGTAGTGCCAAAAGAAGGTAGCAGCATTTCCATCCAATGTACTTACACAACATACTCACTTATAACCAAAATTTTTCACAGTATGTTTTTTACAAATAAAGGTATAGAGCTTGCAGTGCCTGTAATTTCCAGTTTTGAATTTTTTGTCAACATGATTATCAAGGAATATTGGAAGAATATTGCCTTCCAAATGGGCAACCAACCTCATATATAAGAAATCTAAGACCTCACAGAGACATATGTGTATTCCTCTCAAAAATGGTAGTGAAGAAAACACAATAAAAGTATAACAGTATTTCAACAGCACCATCTCAACTAATTATTTTTATTTCTCCTCAAGATTCTCCAGAACACAAAATACAACATTCTGTCTCTTCAAGATTTTTTGTTTCCAAGAAAACTGTCTGAAAACTGCTCAGTCATTAACTATGAAAATTTTAATCATAATCTCTTTTTATTATTGTAACAAAGCGTGTTGACAATAAGCAGCCAAACACCAAATTAACGTTTTTCATGTATTTGAAAGTAATGGAGGAACACTAATTCAGTTAAACTACAGAGATTAAACTTGATGCAATTTATATAACTTCTATAAATATCAGAAATTCTTAATAAATTCTCATGTCTGTCAAGTGCTCAATTAAAGAGTGTAGCTTGGTAGAGTAATTAATTTGTATGTGATTAAGAAAAAAAAAATCTAAATGCCCACTTCAGCATTTTACTTTCTGTACATTTTAAAGCTGTATTCCAAGATGCTTTTTCAAATGTTTTATAGGGTGAAAGATGTAAGACAGAATAAAGATGTGACTCATGTTAGATCCCTGCAAGAATTTCCAAAGTAATACTTAAAGGTTAGTAGTAGAACCAGTTCTCTTTTTCAAAACATTTTTAGTTTTGTTGAGTAGCTGCACACTGGAAGAAACCCTACCACTTTGGATACCTGACACGTCTCTAAAATGAAGCACTTGACTTACCTGCCACTGTTTCATAAGCTCCCGAACCGTTTTGGCATCCTCTAGTATCTTTTCTTTGTGTGTAGCATCCTGTAGGACATTCGCAGTCGTTTCAGCTTCAGTAAGCCAAGCAAGGAACTTTTCAAGATCCAGGTAGAATTGCTGCAACATTCTTAGGGCTGATTCCAGTGCAGCTTCACGCTCAAAAACCCTGTGGAAATGCATATAGTCAAATACAGCACTCTTAAGAAAACAAATCTTAAAGATTAAATAAAAATATAACAAAGATATACTACATATTTTTAATATGCCAATCAAGGTAAGTTTGCAGATAGATTAGCTACAGAATTTGCACTGTATATTTGGCAGGTAGAGTGAAAGTACTATATCTGAAATATGTACAATAAAAATCAAACCAAAAAAACCTCAAAACCACCTACAAATAATTCCCTGATTTGTTTAATCAAAGATTATTTTCTTATTTGCCATTCATCCTACAGTTGGAAAAACTTGTTTATTTTTAGAAATCACTAAATGACTCCTGGCCACTGCATAGTATGATGAATTTAACTATTAGTTTTTATGACTTGAAACCTTTCAAGGTTGCATCCAATGCCTTAAACTCTAATAACACTGAAGTGTGGGGTGTTTTTTGTGTTTTGCTTTGGATTTTTTTTAATACGAATGTCATAAATTACAAGAAAGATCTCTATCAGTTACATGATAAGATACGATTTTAAAATACAAAAGCTATCTTATCCTGGTTAAAGATCTAAATCACAGATTGGGAAAGTACACTAAAGGCTCCAGCAATCCTGGTGCTGAAAAAACATTAAAGCATATCTGTGTTCTATCAGCATTCAAGAGCAATGCAGGTGTCACATGTACTCCATTGATAGTTTACATAGAACTTGAGCTAAATACAGATTTAGAAATGTTAGTAGGTAAGTATGACATACCTTTCATTGACACAAGTCTGTCAAAGCTGCTTAGCTATTGTATTACATGCATATTTGTTTAATATCAGCATGAAAACTGAGTAATTTTTTAAGCTCAAAAAATATATAGTAAAGTCATTTGATAATTTGTGTTACTTCAAGAAGAATGTATGCAATTTGACACATGCCTATGTTTAGTTTACAAATCTGTGGTGATCTGGATATTTCTAGATAGATTACCTGTCTAGTTGTATAGTTTTTTAGACAGAGACTAAGATACTAGATTTTAGTAGATATAATTTTTCAAGTTAAAATTTATCATAACTTCACCAGAGGAGGTCATGAAATTCCTAAGGGCTAATCTATTTCAAATCCTGTTTCCTGTCATGAAGAGGTTTTTACTTCTTAGTAAGTGATGGTAACATCCTAAAACCTTGTACAGTAGTTGAAGTAAAAAAATAAACAAAAAATTAATTCAAATTTTGCCAACTGGCTCTGATTTAATACATTTTTTGACAAGCATATAAGTAAATTGTAGCAGAGGATAGTAAAAACAGAAAAAAAATCAGAGTACAGTTGAGAACAATAATTTCAGATTAAAAAAAAAAAAATCCTCCCTAAGGATCAAATCTTAGAAACTACCATATTTCTACCATATTTATGATCCTTTAACATTTTATTTGCTTTTCCCAACCATTTTGTGAAAAAAAAAAAGGAATTTATTCTTGGATGCTTTTTTGATTCAAAAACTGAAAAAGCTATTGAATGCCTCACTACGAAGTCACCCATCAATTTTTTAAACCTTAAAAACAAACAGGATTTTTATCTCAGATGCACCTGTTGACATCTACAAGAATTTTCCACATCATGGCACTGCTCAGCCTGTATTAGAATGTGTCCCCAGGGCCCTCTTAGGAGGAAAGCCAGACACACTTAGCTTCAGAATAGTGAATATGATCTCTTTCCCAACTTTATTCTACAAGGACATAAAACATGGCTTGTGGTTAGGCCACTCATCAAATTTAGAACAACTGCAATAAAAGAATTTGTTGTTCTTTAGTTGAACTAAAATATAATTACATAGCTATTGCATCTAAATACACTAATAATATACATTAAATAGTATAAATGTAGAAAAAAGACAATAAGAAACAGAAAATCTTTTCTCTGGAAAACACAATATTGGCCTATTTGTCACTCTTAGCTCAAAAATAGCATCACATTTATTTGATAGAACTTGGAAATAGAATAAACTTGTATAAACTAAAAATATTTTATCAAGTTCTTCAGAGCACAATTCTATTGTAAGATATGCTTTATAGCATTATTCTAATTAAGTTTTGAGCATGCAACATGATAGCTAATATCAGTGCCTTTGCTGAATCAGGTGAAAGATTTTTCACATACAGTTCCTTCAAAAGAGTAAAGGCAGATCTTTACAATTCACCTGGATTCCTATAAATACATAGTAATGATCTAATAACAGCAGGCTTAAGGCTTAAGATGACTTAAGGCTATTTGTGTATATTTATCTTTTTACATAGTATCCTGAGAAGTAGGACTCAAAGCTACATTTGTCCACTTGTATAAATACCTAGTAGATTTTTAATCTACAAAAAATAAGAACACAAGCACAAACATGAAAAATGTATTCAAAGGGAGAGCTATTAGAAATATTACTCAAAATCAAAATTTATGTTTTAGAGAAACTTCCAGACTACTTGAAAAAATTTATTATTTTATTGATCCAGGTAAAAAATGAAGTTTTAGTTATGAAGAATCTTCTGGCACTTATATTCTATGATGCACAGAAATCTTATGACACATAACACTTTCAGCTTACAGAAACGTGTTGCTTATCTATAAGCATACTAATACACTCACCAGAAAATATCTAGTACTTTTCATTTTAAACTTTGATACACATAATATGCAATAAACATTCAATTACTTTGACAGCTCTGCAACATATCAATAAGCTTCATTCTACTTGGCTTTCTAATTACTTCAAAATTATGAGTTTTAGAATAGAGAATAGAAAGTCTAAAAATGAAGAATAAAATTGAGTATCCAATCTAGCATGTGATAAGATAAATTGGACAAAATTATAGAGGAGACAAAAAATACGTATATTGGACAAGAAATTATTGCACAAAAGCAAAATAAAGATGCTTTCTTTTTGGTCTGTATCATCCAAATATGTTTAATTCCTTAGTGAGTACAAGCTGTAAGAAAAGAATATGAAGTAAGCAGAAATATATTTTAGTGTAAATAGAAAACTACACAGTAGGAACACTATAAAAAATAATGAAATATTAAAAAATAATAATACCAATATTATTTTTAATGGAACAATCTTGTTTTTCTCTGTTCTACTACGATATAAAAATAAGCAGGTATTTGTATAACCAAAAGCTTATTCATGGAAGAAATATTAAAGGTGGGATTCATCTTATTTCCATTTAGACACACAGAAGCTAGGCAACTACACTCCTGAAAAACACAGAGACAGGCATTTCTGGAATTTAATTCCTTCTCAATTGGTTGTATGCATCTGTTGAACTAGATTCAAGGTCAGAGTAAATTTTTTTCTCTTGACTACAATGGTAAGTTACCTAAAGCTTACACAATTGTAATTTTACACAAGCCTAAATTTTACACAATTAAAGGTAGGTAAGATGGTCCCCAGTCTAGTCTGGAGACTGATTTTTAGGAACTAGTGGCATCAGTGACAATGGACTGACCGACTGTAGTTGTCATATGAGCTTTGTTACTGGACAGAAATTATGTTTATCTCTTAAGAATGTGTTAGCTGATGGCTTAAATTTGAGGGAAAATGTGTACACAATGTATATAAGTGTAAACATTTATATTCACAGGAAAAAGTTTTTAAGGGTTTAAAAAAAAAAAAAAATCCATGAAAAAAGAAAGAAATCCAGCCTCTGCTATAAGATATTGCTGTGATGCCAAGAACTTTTAGAGCTAATATTTTAAAAACGTAGCTGTTTACAAATGTTTTGGAAGATAAGCAAGGGAAAACTAAGTTTTCTGAAATCTGTGTCATTTTTTAAGTTCATAAGCAAGGTACTGAATTATTTACTAAGAGTCCATACTGTGATATATGTACAAAATAAATATATACTACAAAATACAAAATCTATACAAATTAACATCTTGTTATGGAATCTAATAAGAAGAGAAAGTGCTGAAGTATGACAGTGATGGTGTCATTAAATGTATTGCAAGAGTTCTTTGTTCAACAATCCCCAGTCCCATTCAACACAAGAAATACAGTGTTTGGGGAGGCTCATGAGTGTGAATAACATTTTTTTTTTTAATAACTCTAGTATTTGCTACATAATTTGGAGTCAATCATTCACATTTTCTGAGTATCTATTCGAAGTTTTAATGTATTCACATTACAAGATAAGTTGCGAGGGTCAGTGTTTAAATAATGCTTTGAGATGCTCAGATAATAGGAAACATAATAAGCGCAGAGCATTATGTTAACGTACAATACACTGTATAAGCACAGGATACATAATATGTAAGGAAATATATTGAAGACCAAACACAGAAAATATTAATAATGGATAAACTAACAAATTTCTTTTCCACAGGTACTTAAGGAAAATAACAGTTGAGAAATTCTGCACCATTTGGTGTTCAATAGATAACTAAATCACACTTCCATCTGCAGACTCTGGTGATCTAATGTTATCACTCTGAGATGCAAAATAAAATTTTCTGGACAAAGTATCAGTAAATGGTCTTACTTCTATAGTTCTCATGCTTCTCTCTTATATAACTGTATTTTATCCTTTCTGACATTATGATTCCATACAAAAAACCCCAACCAACCAACCAACCAACCAAAAAACCCCCTTGAAAATGTCTTTTCTGGAGCCAAATATCACAGACAATTTGAACTACATGCAACTTCCTGCTAATGTTGGAAGCAGTTTGCACATTTTCATGAGGATCATATCCCTTCTGCCAGTGTGACAAAGGAACAATTGTAAAGCTTTATTGGAACACTTAATTTTTACTACTAAATAAATTTAAGCTCTTACTGGTAAGTCCTCTTAAACTGCTTTAACTTGGACTGATAATGAATCTGTCAAAAAGACAGAATAATTTAAACCTTAGATAAAGTAGGAACACAAGGAGATGTCACAGATACGAAAAGAAAATTAAATTCTTCAAATGAACATCAGATTCGTAAATGAACTATTATTGATAGAATTTTGAAATGAAAATTCAAAATAAATCA